CCTCCGATCAGACTGGCCCAAGAATGTTGTAAAAGAGGATCGTCCGAAAAAGAACTGCTTCGCCTGTTCGCATCTGCAAGCGTGTGTGTGTTGGTGTTTGGGCACAAAGGTAGTGTGTGTGCGTGGGTTGGCTTGAATGAACAGGGATGTTTGCACTCACTGCCTACATTAGACCCACATTGAAAACCAAGACCAACACCATCTTCCCTCTCATACATATATGTGTGTGTGTGTTTGTGTGTGTGTGCGTGCGTGCGGGCGTGCGTACCGGTTGGCTGTACATGACGGAGAGGGAGTTGAACTCGCGGAAGACCTCCTCGTTGCTCTCGGGCTCAAACAGCACAAACTCCTGCACCGTCTGCTGCGTCCCCGCAATCACCCGCTGGGCCTGCAGCCAGAGAGGAGCGTTGGTGGTGGTGGTGGTGGTGGTGGTGGTGGTGGTGTTAAAGCGTGAGGAAGTGTCGCTGCTGGCGCAGAGGTGCTGAGTGCCAAAGCAACAACTCCAGCGTCACCATCAACCGTACCGCCGTCGCCGGCACCACCACCTCTGTCAACATCATCACCACCACCACCACCGTAGCCACCATCTCAGCAACAGCAGCAAGGGGCATGTGCGTGTGCGTGTGCGCGTACCTCGGCGTAGTTTGTCTTGAGGAGGCGGTAGTAGAGGAGGGCGCGGTCATGCACGTCCTGGTGCATCTCATCGGAGATGATCGAGTCAAACAGCCGCCCAAGCATCTTCTGCATCTCAGGTGGCCGCTTGAAGAACAGCTTCACAGCAGACGTCAGCAGCTGCAGTCACACGCACACATGATGTGCGTGAGGACATTGCCAGTCTAGAGCTGAGGGTGAGGTGAGTGGGCACCTCTGTGGGGCGGTGGTGCACACACACACACACACAAGCACACACACACACACATGCACACGCACACCACCAGACCTGGAGTCGGACGGTTGGCGACTTCTCGCTGTTGACGTCGTCGATAAACGATTCGAGGACATACGGCCCCTCCTCCAGCAGCTGGCCAAATTCGCCGAGGAGCCACACCAGCGCCGCCCGCGCCTCGGGCTCGTCGTCAAGCGTGGCAAGATCAACGAGGTCGTACAGCTGGGGCACAAGCCCGTCAGCCTCCCCGGGGTACTGCACGGTGGGAGGGGGGGGGGGCACGTGAGGTGTGATGTGTGATGTGTGGTGTGTGCGTGTGCGTGTGCAAAAAGAGAGTGAGAGAGGACGACAGAACAACATACAACCGCAATTTCACACACACACACACACACATGACCACCAGTACCACCACTGTGGTTTGAGGCGGGGAGCGTACCCTGCGGAGAATGTCGCGCATGACGACGAGCGTCTCTGCAGTGAGATACGGGGACCGCAGCTCAAGGAACGCCAGCAGCTGATGGAAACGCACGTGAACACGTGAACACATGAACACATGACACACGCACAAACGAACACACACATGAACACACACATGAACACACACATGAACACACACACGAGCAAGTGATGGGATGAGTGATCGTGTATACGCAGCGAAGAGCTGATGGTGGTGCTGTGAGTAGGCAATGGCAATGGCAATGATAGCTGCACGCATGTGATGCAAGAAAGACCGTGGGCCATTAGAGAAGGCAGTCGCAGCCAGTCAGTGAGTGAGTGAGTGAGTGTGTGTGTGTGTGTGTGTGAACTCACGGCCTTGAGGATGTTGGCAATGGCGGCGGGGAGCTTGATGGCGATTTTGCCCACAGAACGAACAGCACGCCTGCACATATGTGCACACGCACACACACGCACACACATCATGAGGGAATGGAGAGAAGATGGTCTCATCAACTACGTCATGACCACACGACCATCACCAACAGAAGCAACATAATCAACAGGCAACCAACCACATCAACCCACAGCCTATGCATCCCTTCAACTGTCCACCACCAGCGCACCTTGCCATGTCCACGTCAATGTCTGTGACGCACGCTGCGAGCTCCTCCACAATCTTTTCGACGTTGCTCTCGTCCGCAATGTCCGTCAGGATGGACAACTTCTTCGCCTTCACGTACGCCGGATCCGTGAACCGCGAGAACAGCGCCTTGTAGTCGTTCGCTGCACACACGTACACATGCACACATGCACAGACACGCAACGCAAACGTGAGACACAATCAAGATGACTGTTGCATTCACACACACACACACACTTACAAACACACTTACACACACGCACGCACACACTTACACACACGCATACGCACACACACATTGACACAGGCAGCGGGAACATGGGACAAGTCTCATGCGTGCATGCAGGCACCGAAGATGTGTGGGCGGCGCTTAATGAGGAGGTGGATGTGGTGGAGCACGGTGTAAGACAGCTCTGACGCCGATGACGACATGAGCGTGATCAGCGGAACCTGATGAGCAGGGGGGGGGGTAATTGAGGAGAGTGGTCGTGAGGAGAGGGGTTGGTGATGGGGATGGCGTTGATGTGAGGGGTGTGCGATGAAGGGCGATGCTGTCGTGGACATGCAACGACCATCCACAGACACGTGAGCATGAGTGCAGCGTCACACCTTGAGCCGGTCGTAAATGTCATCGTGCATGTCCTCAAACTTGTCCGTCAGGCGCAGGAAAAACCGACACGCGCCCTGTGCACAATGAGTTCGTGTGTGTGTGTGTGTGTGTGTGTGTGTGTGTGTGTGTGTGTGTGTGTGTGTGTGTGTGTGTGTGTGTGTGTGTGTGTGTGTGTGTGTGTGTGTGTGTGTGTGTGTGTGTGTG